GTCATGGGCCAGGGCGTGGACTCACCTCTCTCTATTACCATCTCTGCACAAGAACTGGAGTTTGTTCATGATTTCGTGTACCTTGGCTCAACCACCTCTGACACTCTCTCTAGATGTCAAGCTGGATAAACACATTGGCAAAGCAGCTACCATGTTCTCTAGGAATGGACCTCAACAGAAACTCTGACATCTGAGTGTTCAGCCTGGAGGCAGGTGATACAGCATGGCCTCTCCCTATTTGAAGAGACACTGTTGAGGTCCATTCCTAAGGCCTTCAGATTCCACTTGCAGATATCCTTGTATTGCAGCTGTGGTCTCCCTCTGGGGCGCTTTCCCTGCACTCATTCTCCATACAGGAGATCTTTTGGAATCCGACCATCAGCCATTCTCACAACATGCCCAAGCCAACGTAGACTTCACTGTTTCAGTAATGTATACATGCTAACAATTCCAGTTCATTATACGACGAGTTTCTATTTGGAACTTTGTCCTGCCAGGTGATACCAAGAATGTGTTGGAGACAACACATATGGAAGGTGTTCAGCTTCCTCTCCTGCCATGCACAAAGGGTCCAGGACTCACTGCAGTGCAGGAGTGTATTCAGGACACAGGCTCCATAGACCTGGATCTTGGTACAATGGTGCCTCGCATAGCGAGGTTAATCCGTTCCGGATTAACCTTCGCTATAGCAAAACATCGCTAAACAGAAATTAAAAAGCCATAGAAATGCATTGAACTTCGTTCAATGCATTCCTATGGCTTTAAAACTCACCGTTAAGCGATCTTCCTCCATAGCGCCGCCATTTTCACGCCCTCGGTAAGCGAGGGCAGTGCGCGAAAATGCAGCACGGACCTTCCGGCGGCCATTTTGGAACCGCCGATCAGCTGTTCTCCCCCGCTTCGTTATGCGATAATCGCTAAGCGAATCACTTAGCAAATATCGCAAAGCGAAAAAATGCCATAGGGGCCATCGCTGAGCGAATGCTCCAGCGATGGCCCAGAGCCCCTCGTTAAGCGATTTAATCGCTCAGCGGGGCGCTCGTTAAGCAAGGCACCACTGTATATGCCGTCAGCTTCTTATTAAGCCATACTCTCTTTGTGAGTCTATTTTTCATATCCTTCAGGTTTGAAAAAACTGAAGAACCATTAGAGGTAGGAGACACTGTGACTGCTTGGTCTGATGCACCACAATGGGATGAACTATTCTACCGATCTACAGTGGCACTGGTTCTCTTTGTGGTTGTCCTTAAAAGACAATTTCTTGGGGCTTAATTTGAAGTCCCCAGACAGCTTTTCAGTGCCAGTTTCTCCTCAAGCACAGCGATTTTGCTCTTTTATTTCCCTCAGCGCCCATCGGCCGTGCAGGCCAGTGACCACGAATTCTGGGAGGTTAAAGTCCAAAACATGTGTGGTGAACGTCTTGGGCATTACAGGTGACCCTAGCACCTGTAAGGACCAAGACGTTCATCTGAGCATGTGAAGAACGCTGTTTGCACAATGATTCCTAG